AAACAGTCCAGATTCTCCAACAGATTGTAAGGAAAAGAAAAGGGTGAAAGGGACCCTTGAGATTTTTGAGTCTTAAAATATTATAAAAAAAAAATTTTAAGGACATTAAGACTATTGTGCATAGGGACACACACTTGGGTGATCAAACAATAAAGAGACTCTAGGAAATAATCACTATAAAAGTCCAGAAGTTGGACTGGCATGGGGAGGGGACATGGAGGATAGTGGGGTTGGTCTGGTAAGGTTCTATTCTTGACCCGGGTGGTGACTGTAAGGGTGCTCACTCTATAATAATTCACTGACTTCATCTGCTTTGCTTGTTTACTTACCAGTTCCTGAAATCTCAGAGTATGGGAAGCACAGAATTAGAGCAGGTGCAGAAGCCAAGGCAGACAGGGCTGCTTGCTGAGTGACTTACTTGACTTATCAGGAGCTGCTAGAGAGTCTTGGCTGGGCCCCACACAGAAGGATACAGTTGACTCGTGTTCTTGAAATGCTAAATTACTGAAAGTATCTGTTCTCTTATGTCACACATCATTCCAGAGAGGATTTGCCACAGATTATAAAACAAAACACAGTAGAAAGTGAGACATTCACAGCAGAACCAGCTGTTAGAAGGAGCAGAGAAATACATGGTCTCAGCAAGCCCTAATTTATAAAAGATGTTCACACCTACCTTCTCAGCAACATCTGCTGCTTGGCTGACCCAGGCCACCAAGGCCCTCAGTGAAGCACAAACTGAGTGCTGAATGCTGTACATTCACCACACAGAACTGTAACCCACTGTCAGTTGTACAAGTTAGACCCATCACAATATATGGGAAGGATCATTTAACTGATTAGCTTGAGCACTGGCTCGGGTAATCAGCTCCTAAAAGCTGAAAGAAAATAAAGAGAATGGGTGGTAAGGGAGGCGGTGGGGGCAGGGGGAGAAATGACCCAAGCCTTGTATGCACATATGAATAATAAAAAAAATAAATAAATAAAGAGGATTTACCCCCAAACAAATTTCCTCCTGAGTCATATGGCCCCTTATTGGTGGGGCGGGATCTGCTCAATGTGGTCAACCAGACTCTTTGGTTATAAGCAAAGGTCACAGATCTGAAACACACTACATGTGAGATATACACTTATTACCTTCATACTACCTACCTAGCAGTTGTGCTCAGGTTGTAAGTCTCCATTTCTCACATCAATCAGACAAGGAGGACCAACAGCAACAGTAACACTCACAGAGTGTAAGTGTACTAGGAATGGCACATACTGGTGATATGCCTCTGGGTTTTGTGCCTGCAGCATGTGTTTATTAATCTAGTCAGTCCACATCTCCTGAGAAACCTTTCTTTGTTGTTCACCTTTCACCTTGGATAGGGGGCCCACAAACCTGCATCCCTCCCCAACTGAGATGGGACTTTGTACTTCCCCAAGCTTCACAACCTGTGGGCATGTTCACACCGCCAGGCCTTTGCTCATGCAAGGTCCACTCCCCTGACAATCCTCCACCCTGAGTAGATCTTGTAAAGGTTAATACTTCTCTGGTAACATACTCTGTACTCCTTGAGGACAGGGGTCTTGGTCTCTGCCATTTCTATACCAGGATCCAGGACAAGGCTTGACACATCAGGTTAACAACAATAACTGATGCTTATAGAACACTTGCACAACCTGACATGTTCTAGATAATTTAATCCTCACAACACCCCCAGGATGTAGTCACTATTACCGATGTAGACACTACTCCTGATAGGTACATTGTATGGATGAGTACACTGGGTTTGGGAAAGTAATGTTACCTGCCCTAGATCACAGTATCAAAACAAGGATTCAACTTAAGGCACTTGGCCCTGTAATCTGTAATCTTAACCACTACCAATGAATTCATTTACTGTCCCATACACTTACTGGGTAGCTACCACATGCCACAAACTATTTAGTGAACAAAGTGGACCAAGTCTCACCTTCATAAAACTTACATTTAGAATTAACAAATAATAAGAGTAATGCTTCTAAGTAATACTCTGTAAGTAAAACAGAGTAGAATAAGGGGAAAAAAAGTGACTGATAGAACAGAAGGAGTATGATCAAAGTACATTCCATGCATGTACTGAAATATCACAGTGAAACCCAATTATACAATTAATACATACTAAATTTTTCAAAA